CAGTGAGTTAGTAGAGACCAACAGGTACTTCTGCTGTGTCACAAGTCTTCAGGTCAGATACAACCACAGCTTCTCTTATGTTTTAACAGACCATTCAAGCCTCAAGACTTTGACTTTCTGTTAGGAAGAATCCCACATTTCTGAACACCTCAAAGCCTTCAGCACTGTTTTCTCTTCTTCCTCCTTTTTTTCTGCTGGAAGGCCATCACTTTTCTTGGCATCGGTGCAATTCCATTCACACACTGAGAGCTCAATAGCTCATTTATACTAACACACACTTTTATGCTCAAATATTCATTGTGTGTTTGCCTCTTCTCCAGAAGGAATTAATTTTAGATTGTCAAGGTCTCCTAATCTTGGTCAAGGTAAAGAAATAAGCAGGTGAAATAAGTCAGTCATATCTTCCCTAACAACAATACAGAAAATCATCATACATCACTTTTTTTTCTAGTTGAGATTTGGCAATTTAATGGGAAATAATGATCAGAAATTTCATGAGAAACTGCAGTTTCAGCTATCTATTTTCCCTCAGATAGTCTAACTGATTAACAATCTAATTAAACTCAGAATAATTGTTCTTAACCTGTGTTTAGCTTTGAAGATAACTACTATTTCAGACCTGAAAGAGGGCTTGTGTGCCTGAAATCATCTGTTTCTTCCAACTGTATGACTTGCTCTAATAAAAGATCTTACTTGACCCATAAATCTTGCCTTGAATTTATTATTGCATATGAGCACAATTGACATTCCGTTGAATATTCAACCCATTTCCTTCCCAGAGCAAAAAATAAATAACCTCTCATCCAGGTCATGGCAGAGGCTCAGTCAGAAAATTAATTATAATACCCACGTGTCTAAAAAAAGCTATACCAACATTTATTTTTAAGCTTGAATTCTTGCACCATTAATTTTTAAATTAAATGGGAAACAATCAATGGTTTTTAAAAGCATAAAGTGTTAGAAGCTGGACAGAAGACTCTATCAAGTACTGCCTTCCCAGTCTAGTTACCAGACATTTTCTCAAACTAACTTAACTGCTTCTCCTCCTATAAAAGTACTGCAAGATATTCATTCATCTTCTTTGTGGAAGACAACTTTCAGCTCCTAAACTGTCATCCTAATTTCATTCATAACAAGTAAATTGAGTTATTTTCTTTATCCAAGGGTAGATAACTCCTAATGGACTCTGTTTCTGCTCTTCAAGCAGCAGAGCCCACAGTGCCGGAGAAGAGCTATTGGTCTGTTGCAGGTACTTAGCTGATGCTTTCATGCACTGGCAATGCCCCTTATTTCCTACAGAACATTAAAACTGGTTGTGTATCTCTATACCTCAGTCAAAATACATGTATGATCAAAGTAGATTGCATTAGGAGTACTGCATGTTGAGAAACAAACTACTGTTGAGAAACAAACTACTGTTGAGAAACAAACAAACAAACAAAAAACAACAGCAAAACCCATGAAGACTACAAGCTACTTTTTTTTTTTTTTATCAGCTAGAGTCATTTTATAGACTGAGCTACATCTCCATACCTCTGATATAAAAATCATTAGGCCTAGAAAATAACCACAGTGAACCAAGTGCTGAGCTCATTGCACTTCTGAGGGATTTGTGACCAAAAATAATTTTTTGATTCTAAGCTCTGGAAGCTATTTTTTATCCTAGACAGGAAAAATTCAACTGAGGGAAGAATGGAAGGGCACATATCTCCATCACACTACATCCTTAAACAAAAACACCACAACCACCACAAATAAATAAAATAAAATATAATATAATAAAATAAATCATAATAAGAACTTATGTTCAGGACATGGACTGGGTCAACATTTCTCTTCCAAAGTCACCTGGAATTTGCATGCCACTTCTTGTAACATTTTCTTCCTCCTATCAGTTGTTGTTCTTTTCTCTTCAACTACTGTTTTCCTACAAGGAAACCAATCAGAGAAATTTATCTGAAACAAGTTTGTGTTATGTAGACCAGAGTCTTAGACACCACAGGTGCTAAGGAAAGCAAGTGTCACATGCTTAAACAGAAACTGAGATTGTTAGCTTTACTCTATGCATGTAAAGAGTTTTGTGGGGTTTATGCAACATTAACCAAAAATAACTTTAAATTACTAAAAAGTGGGATTTTCCCACTCTTCTCCCCACCCCTCAAAAATAAAGAGTTTGTGAAAAGATATAAAAATGTGTTTGCAAACAAATGAACATGAAGATTCTTTCTGGCAGCTAAATACTCCCTCACTAGAGTCTCAGGGGATTTGCATAAATACAAAAAAAGTGAAACTGCAAACAGCTGCAGTGTCATAGGCTATCACATGGTTTCCTATGATTATCACCTAAACAGACAAACAGACAATAAAAGAGGAAAAAGAGAAACTGTTATCATATACGGGAGGGACAAGAGTGGGAACACTCTGCCTAATGTTCTGCCTTAATGGAGAGCCATGACAGTCAGCTTCACCTAGAAAACCTCCAATATATGAGACAGCCGGGATAAGCAGACATATCACATACCAGGGCATTAGCCTGGGATTTCCTCTTTTATATCATGCTTAGGATACTTCAAGATGAACTAAACATTTTAACAAATTTAGGAGTCACAAATAGCTATGCTGGCTTTCAAACATTACTTTTCTCATTTTCATAAAATGGTAAGAAACGGGGAATATAGACAAAGGATTTTGGTTACACAGAACTTCAACAAGCTAGAGTCTGAAAGTTTGCCATAAAACTCTTGCTGTTTTTTTCAAGGCCAGCAGAAGCCAGGGAAATACACCTTAAATACCACCACCATGAATCATTTCAATAAACACAGTGGTAGGGGAAAGCAGAAACATGAACACCATATATTTTTTAATTGTAAATTGTACATGTTTTTAATTTTTAATTAAATTTTATGATTTTTTTAATTGTAAAAATTACAAGAAACAATATGCTGGATCATCATGAATACATGCCCAAGAAGTCTTTAGATCAGAAACTGACCACAGTTTCCAAGAGAGCTCTCCATGATTTCAGTTCAGTGACATATTTCTGCTTGACCAGACAGTTACTCATGTAAAACTTCCATCTGTAAGTGCTGGACAGGATCTACTATTAAAAAAAAGTAAAAATGGATTGCTGGTATTTCTTCATGTTGCCTGCTTTGCCACAAGAGAGAAAAGAAAAACATGACAAATATAAAACTATTCTAGGATGAACAGCCTGAACACAGGTTCTTGTCATCTTCCTACCTGTCAGGAGAGCGGAAAAGAAATAAACACTCATTTAAGTTAGTCTAAACTGCCTAAATGAAAGAAAAAGTAGATATGATTCCAACAAACAATACATTTATTAGATCTGCCACTTGAAATCACTACACTATATGCCCCTATAATTCAAGAAAAAAAGCGTAGGATTACAAGTTACAAATTCAGTTCATGTAATGAAACAGTACATTGCAGTGTGTCTCTTCCTAAAAGAAGGATTGTGATGGAATTCAAAAGTGTTAAATAAGCTTAATACTTGTCTCACACTCTAAGGATGCACCCATAGTCTGAGCTCAGTACAGGCCTCTAACAGGGTAACACTGGCTTTCATGATCTGTGTAGCTTCCAGTCCATTACAGCTCCTGTTAGAGCACAGTCAGGTCATACTGAAGGTGTTTACACTGATCTGAGAAATGTTCAAGCTCCAGATATATATCAACTGGTGTTTTGTATAGTAATGCACCTGGTATTGTCACAACAGATTGCATAAATGAGAATTAAGTCTCACAGTGAGTTGCTGACAGTGCTGAAGTGTTCCACTATGATAAGTGCTGCAGCTTATTCTAAACATACAAGTTGCACATAAATAATGTGGGAATTAAACTAGCCTGCTCTCAGAACACACAAAGTCTTCTGGTACCCAACAAGGAACCAGTGTGAGGAGCAGCTGAAGCAGCAAGAGCTTCTGAAGCTGGAAAACAGAAAGATGAGAAACTGTTGTGACAGATCTGCTTTAGGACGTTTCTGATTTGTCTCCAGATAGTCATTACGTCCCCCATTATAGCCAAAGGTTTTCAGACTTTGTATAACTGCAGCCTAAACAAGCACTGTGGTGGGTTTGCGATTTGTGAGTGTTTTTTGTTTGGGGTTTTCTTTTTTGGTTTGGGTTGTTGGTTTTTGTTTGTTTGTCTGTTTTGAGGGCTTATTTTTCACAATCATGCTTTTTTTTTTTTTTTAATATCAGTTGAATTGACACATGACTTTCACCCAAAAACAACCATAAAACAGCTGTTATAAGGATTATTTCTGTTTAAGCAGGAATGGAAGCAACTTTTATAAAAACACTCTTAGCAGAAAACTCTCCTACAGTCTTTTCTAGATTGTTCTGTATCTTGTCTCAGCTGTAAATAATAACAAATCATACTCTGAGTCCCTGCAAATGGCATATAAAATGTGGTCATTGCTTGTGCCATGGAGGCAGTACAAGAGAGCTGCTCTCCACACAGAGCCCCCCAGCACTGACATGCTGATTCCCACAGGCTTTGTTCATGAGTTCCAGACAGGCACAATCAATAACCTCATCTTCACATAATACCTGCTCCACTCTGCCTAGTGATAAAGAGAACAAATTCTTCCAAGAAAGATAACTGAAGTGTTTCCCATGCAGTTGAAGGGTCCTTGGGCAAGAAGGTTACCTCTAGCTCTGTTTTCTGGCACATTTGAGCTTGAGGTTTTTGTTGGGTGAGAATGACCTATGTAATATGCTGTCTCTATATGCCCCACAGAAATTACCTTACAGGCTGACTGTGCCTGACATGTTTAACAAAGACATTTATGTTCCAGGAACAGCAGTGTTTCCATTATGATCTAGGGCTCTTTTTTTTTCTTTTTTTTTTTTTTTTTTTTTTTTTTTTAAGCTGAATTTTCATAAAACATATGACTTACCTGCAAAGGTGGGGGAGGGTGGGAAAGGTTCTCTATTAAAACGGGGCTTGAGGTATTCTTCTTCACTCTCTTTTGAAGTCTGCAAAAGTTATCTAGGGTTGGTGCTAACTTCCTGTGCGGAGAGAGGAAGTGAAGTGAGATGCAGAGAAACTCCATAGAGGCACCAGTGGGTGGCCAGCAGAGACAGGTGAGTAAAAATTAATATACTTTTCCTAAGGAGCTTGTGTCAAAGGTTACTATGTGGGCAGTAGCTGAGTTTCATTTTGCCATGACTAGGCAAAATGAAACTTTGCAGGTTAGGTGGAAGAGGAAGGTTTCCAGAGATCAAAGTTCCCTCCAAGGTAAATCATGTATGAGTGTGAACTATATGGACTACAGATGCACCATGGAAAAGTTAGAGGTGCAAAATACACCCAAGACCAAAGCCATAGGTGTCATCCAGACCTACCTTTATTGGTGTTTTAGGCCTCACTCTTCCTATGCAGTGCTGGTAGTGCATGAGAAACAGATGGTGTGAAAGGCTCTACAAGTGAAAGGGAACACTAATGCTTAGTTTGAAGAAAAAAGAGTGCATCCATGGAGGGTGCAGAGAGAGGAGTGAGAAGGGCGAAGTGGCATGACAAGAAAATCACCTTTGCAGCAGGACTCCAAGAGTAAGTGGGAAAGCAAGTTGACAGCAGCAATACCCAAAGTAAAAGATTTTGCAGTAGTTAAAATGCAGAGGTCTGGGTGTAAGCATGATTTTTGAATATTTGTGATTTTGTGCTTGCAGCTTACAGATCTTCAGCAGAAGAAATCTTTGCAATGCAGCAATAAGATTGGACTAGACACAACTGGAGACTGCCTCACTCAAAACCGGGGAAAGTGAAATGGGAAGGATTTTGGTACATTCCAGTGTGACAAAAGGAGGGGGGAAGGTACCTCTGTGAGTGTAAACAGGAGCAACTACAAAAGGATAAGTAATACCTCCAGGATATTTCCCATGCTCATGTAGATGTTTCTGCAGCAACAACAACATGCAACATATGACTTCTGGTCATTCCTGGTTTACAAATAACAAATGCAAGTGATATATGTTTAATTCTACACTATTGAAAATGTTTAGGGCTTTCAGGAAAACAAAAAAAAAACAAGCAAAATAGTAACAAATGACATTAGAACTGAAGGCCGTATCCCTTCAGACACAGGCAACTTTAGTTTAAGAATTCTCGCACCACAGAGTGAAAATGTCACATGGTCAAGCTTCAGATGAAATCAGCCCATGGATTGTACATGTAAATTGCATTGCAGCCTTAACTTATGCAGAGAAGTAATGACCAGCATGAAATAGCAAGTGGTAATGAAATATGAATTACTGTTGCAGAGAAAAATATCCAGGTATTGGAAGATAATATTTTAGATGTAAGCAGTAAATAAACTGGTTTTATCATGTGTTGAAAGTGCCTGGTTAATGAAATTAATGGATTGCTCACAAACCTCTCAGACTCCATTCAAAAATTAAGAATTCGGTAGGATTAAATCAATCAATCACACACACACACTTCCTTGGCCCTGTTCCATTTAGTTCCTTACGACAAGGTCATACATAAGATGTCTAGATTGCTTGGACTCAGTTGACAATAATTACTTTACTCTTGGCTACCTTCCTTCCCAATTCATCCCTAATCTGGCATGTTCTCTTCATCAAGTCCTTCATGACTGTCTGAGGAAATGCAAGAAAATTATTTTCGAAGGATGGCTATAAAAGTTAGTGTGTTAAGGTGCTAAATATTTTTTAAAAAGAGAGAGACCTGAGAATGTGTGCATTAAGTGCTGTAAGTGTTGTGACATCAGGACGGATTCAATCTGTAAAAGCAGATTTACAGGTGACAGACAGGTGTGATGGCAGACAGGTACAGTGCACAGCCAGGGCACAACTCTGTAATGGCAGAGTCCAGGTATTACAAGGAATAGGGAAGAAAGTATTGCTTTTTTTTCTTTCTAGTGCCCGCTTTACAACACGGATAAGCCTCAGTCAAAACAATCTGTCAATTATTCTTTAACTTCTCTATCTCTCAATGCTCAATCTTCTAGCTGGAAAAGGAAACAACTCTGTGTTTTCATGCTGTATGTCATTTTGAAAATATTTACAATATTTAAAGGTATTCTGTGACTCAACATGTTGAATATATAAACTGATTTTTCAGCTACAACTCTCCTTCCACAGTTTTTTGATTAAGCTGACTTACCTCTCTTTCAGATGTGTTTAGAAAAACATTATGCTTTCCTGACAGATCCTCAGCAAGACAGGAAATTCAGAATTAAAGCAGTGTAAGGCAGTCATACACTCTTATACTTGAAATTTATGCTCAACTAAGCAACTAACAGTGTTAAATTTCTACCAAATAGTTGGACATATTTAGCAGCTTCTTTTGTTTGAAAATAACTCACTGAAAGATTCAAAGCTTTGCAGATTTACTTGTCAATAAACATTAATCTGCAAATGGTTCATGGAAACATCCTGCAGCCAATGGGCGGCTCACAATCTGTTTATTGCTCCTATTGCCTGCTAGCTGTTAGCACTATAACTCTCAGCCACGCTAGTCACCTGGCTTGGTTTCTGTTTTCTCTCAGAACAACTCCTAAAGAGCTTCAAAAGGCCACCAAATGTTTTAAATCAAATCCTCATGTAAAGCCACATATGATGCTTGCTTCCCACAAACATCCTTCTGAACACAGATCTGCACAGCAAATATTGATGGAGACAGAGGGGGATGTTTTTGAAACATTTGCCTAAGGCCAAAAATTTCAATATTGATTAATTATTTTTGGTACCAAAATTTCAGTACTTTTCAGACAGACATCTGCAAGAAATCTATGTACAGAGGGAAGTAATTCCACAATATCTCCAGAACAGGTTCTCCTCTGAGAACATCTCAGGCTGGACAGCCAAGAATTCAGGTGTTCAATACCCACAGGCATTTTTGAAAATTTTCATTCACTGATTTTTTTTTTTTCCCTAAAAGAACCACAGTGCTTTTCTCTCAGACCCACTCTCTCAACTAAGATTTTCAAAACATAACATTTTGGGGTATCATTTTTCAGTTATAATTAAATTCAGATAACTTGTAGTTTGTTTTTTTCCTTTGGGATAGCAAATTTACAGTAAAAAGAAAAGGAAAAAGAGCAGGAGAAAGGGGACCATGCATATTAAATGACAGGGTGAACTCTCAAATTACCATAGATATAACATTTACATTTTTCAAGGTCATGTGTCAAATACAAATGAAATAATGAACCTTTGTTACTCTGTGGTATCCCATGCCAGGCAGTTTATGCATCAGCATCAATACAGCAGCTTTGATGAACTGCACTCCTGTGCCCTGCTACTCTAACCTGGAAGTTAAAAAGGCAGCAATTAAGTTTTCTAAAAAGGAGGAAGAAAAACAGAAAAAAATATGGTTACAAGCTGCCAGTATTTTAGTTATAAAATTGTTACTTAACATAAAACCAAAATAGCTAAACAGAATGTGCAGAAGAAGGGTAAATGAAATGAAATGAAATGGGGATGTTAATGAAAAGGTTGAGTAGACAGCAGCCAGGATATTCACATCTGACCCATGAGACACTTCAAGAAAGCAGCAAGGTGGGAGTGAGGAGGGGAGGAAAGACAGAGGCGGAGGAACTGTTATTTATGCTGCTATGATGGAGTGCACAGCAAAAACATGCATCAAAGCTATTCCTTCACAAGACACAGAACTGCACAGAAAAAACTCTCCCCAACTTGTATGATTTATTTTATTCTAAACTATGTCACTGCTGTGATACCATGCACTGCCTTCCAGAAAGGCAAGTTATAGTTAAATACATACAGCAAGGGAGGCTGGATATTCTAATCCAATTTAGGATAGGTTATATTGTATCATTAGAGAACAATTTTCACTTGGTACAGCACAAAATGTCTTAATGGGTTTAAAACACATGCCTCTTTTACTTTTCTCTTCTCTTCTCTCAACATGGCAAAAAAATGACACTACGGGTAGTATTTCTGTTCCACATGCCTTCCTGGGAAGTATATATTACTGAAAATGTAATGGGTGACTCCAGAGATGTATATGTTACTCATATTGTGAAACCAGTCATTTCAGGAAATGTTTAAAATTTTCAGCCATTTCACAAAATGGCGGTTTCATTCAATTACTCTAAAATAAGAGAAAGCTTCACACCTTTAATGAAGTTAGTAAAACTCTTAAGGAGGCACCATGTAAAACATCTGATAACTTGGTAGTTGAATTAACTTTAAAAGACAATTTGTAAGATTACTTTTCTTATTTATTTATTTATAAAGTCAAGTGGATTTCTGCATTTGTTTCTGAAATCATCCCATAAAATACAACACCTGCCAGAACAAAACTTGTCTTCCTAACTGAGACAACTGTGACATTAGCTACTATATCTGCCTTGCTTTTCAGTGTTTTCATCCATCTGAATTTACAGATGACTCTGCTTTGCTGGGAACTTTACCTGCAGAGCTTGTGCTGAGCAGGCTCCTTCCTGTTGCCACTGTGGGCAGCACCTGGGGCAGGATTTTGTAGGAGTTTTTTGGGATGGTGCTCCAGAAGTAAAGGGCCAGGATATCAGTGGGTGGAGCATTTGGTGTGTCTGGATGAATCTTTTGTAACAGAAAAGATATAGGAAGAGGTTGAAGCTTTACTTTAGATGTAGTTCTAGTTTGGCTACCTATGGCTGTGGCACAGGGGCCAGTGCATCTTCTGGATATGTTGATGCAATAGAGTTAATAGAAAGACTGCTGAGCACCGAGAGCAGATTGTACACACTGCGGAGGTGGTTGATGATCCTTGGTGGTAGAAAGGTTGAACTAAGCCCACATTTGGTAACCATCAGCTGTAAACAATGTACAGTTTATTCTATATTAGTGGGAGGTGCTTTTGAGAATGGGACTAAGAAAATCCCTACAGCTCAGTTCTATAAATTACTGTCTACCATGCATGCTAGGACCTTTTATAATATGACCTTTGGAAGAGCCCTAGCTCTGTGGACATCTTACATTTGCATGCATCAGGCTAAGCAGAGGCCACAGAATCTTCAGTTCTTGGTCAGCCTCTTCTAACAGGTAACTAGTGATAGGACAAAAGGGAATAGCATCAAGCTGTGCCTGGGCAGGTTCATGTTGGAAATGAGGAGGCATTTCTTCTCAGAAAGAGTAGTCAGGCATTGGAACGGGTTGCCCAGAGAAGTGGTGATGTCATCATCCCTGGGGGTGTTTAAGGAAAGGTTGGACACGGTGCTTAGGGACATGTTTTAGTGGGTGACATTTGTGATAGGGTGATGGTTGGACCAGATGACCTTGAAGGTCTTTTCCAACCTTAATGATTATATGATTTTATGACTTCATCAGTGAATTCAATCTTGCTATCACTCTGAAACACAGCAAAGGTACTACATAAGAGAAAAAATACTGAAAAGCTGAAAGATCACTACTTGCACTCCCTGTGAGGTAAGGCCTCAGAGAACAAAATTTGGGCAGGTAGCCTTGGCACATTATTATCCCCTTGAGACAAAGCTTGCATATCAATGTGGTCAACATGATGAGTATTCATTGCTGGTTTTATACAAACACCTTTAATCAAGGGTCTCTTTTTCTTCCTCTGGCACTTAAGACAGAAAGATCTGAAGAGCTCAACAGCTTCTCTTGTGATGTTTGCATATTTAGACAATAAGTGATTTATAAAATGATCACAACCACCATAGCCTGTAGCAACACGCACTCTTCTGATAATATCACACAATCTTCAGTGCTCACACAATATATGGGAAATGCTTCTTTAGTCCTACATTTCTTAATACGCTTCTTATTATCACCAAACTACAGAATTTCATACCTATGAGCAGGGGAGGAAATATAGAAGAATTAATGGACAAATCCATAACAAATGAAAAGACAAATAATAATAACAGCAGAAAGCAAAAAATAGAGTGTTCTTTAAAACTTGGCAAGCAGATAGTACTCATGACTGGACTTCGATTTGGGATCTTGGCTTGCCTTTTTGATCTCAGCAGTAGTCGCACAGTATTCTTCCTTGAGTATCAGGTAGTTGGGCACTTCCCATACTTTTTGTAAAGTTCTTTTCTGAAATTACGTTCAAAATTCAGAGCCATCTTCTGCAGTAAATGCGGAACAAGAAAAGGATCCTTCTCCAGCAGCCCCCCCTACACCTTTTCACAATATGCCTGTTACTGAGTGAAACAAACAGTCAAATAGTGTAGCAGAATATCCAGCACGTCAGTCATTTCATAAAACGCATGAAACTTTTAGTCATTTTACCAAATGAGTGAGTGAAGGAGTCATTTTGCAAAATGACTGAAAATTTCAGTCATTTCATGAAATGACTGGTTTCATGATACATCTAACATATCATGTGCTAAGGAAAGGCT